TGCTCATTGTCCTCCGTGTATTTGACCTTGAAGTGTTCGCGAGAGTAAGCGGCCGGGTCGGCCACGGGCGGTAGCATGAAACCAGCGGCCAGTGCGTCGGGAGCGCTTGGGGTCAGGTCGTCCATGGCCGCCATGTGCATGTTGGGCATAGCGCCGCCGTAGTTTACGGAGGCACCGCGGCTGCCAGCGCGCAGGAAGTTGAGGTTCACCACGGGAGCGCTCATGTCCGAGGAGCTCTTGAAGGGGGTTTTAGTATGGAGAAGGAAGGATATCCTAAACAGGGAGAGATCCAAATGGAGGTTGTGTGATGTGCTATATATAGAGGGAAATATTTTCATGTAAGGGGGTATAGAAACTACGACGTTCGTGCGACAATATTATGTTTGTTTGGTGTGGCAGCAATTGCAGCTAATTGCGATTAGAGGACGCGGAGCGTGCCATCTCCAACGAGGTCGTAATCAGCGCTGATGGTGCTCGCGCACGTGGGTGTATTTGAGACAAAAGGAGACTTCTGTTGGCGCAGGGAGGCCGCGGTTGCCGAGCTTCTAGGGTGCTCTACATGTAGTACGGACGGCCAAAACTAGTGCGCAGCAATTGGTGTAGTTAACGCGGAGGACTAACACGAATTCACATCAATACAACTCGATTATAATTTAATGGTATTGGGCTGCCAAAGTCCATGGCAAAAGCTAATAGCTGCAGGGATTTACATCTGCAGATGGTCGATATGGAACCGGATCATGTCGTCTAGTACGCTAGGTTGCACTGCTTGAAGCTCGTTCATGAAACTCTCGCTTGGTAAAACGTTCAGTTCTGCCGAATCGTCGACCTTGACGGACTCGTCTAGGATAGACACGAGCTCGTCAAGCTGCTCCGGGTCCATTGCGATATCCAAAGTTGTCATTGGTGATGCACCTGGTGACTCGGACGAAAAGCTCGGTGTCGGGCTATAAGCACCCACATCGATCGTTGACACGCTCGAGGCGGGCGATGCCGGAGCTCGTAACTGGGTCATCATTGGGTCCTGTGTCACACCTGACTGCAGAGGCTCATCCGACCCGGTGGGGCTATCGTATGCCTGGTCGAGGCTCGGCAAAGGCGTCATGTTGGCCGCCATGAGCTTGGTCTTCCGCCCGTCGAGCTCCGGGTGGTGGCCCTTAATGTGCCGGTTGAGATTGCCTGCCGTGCTGAAGGTCTTACCGCAGCCGGGCGACGAACACACGTGCACGGGGCTGCCCAGGTGGAACTTCATGTGCTTGGAGAGCTTGTTCTCGCTTCGGAACGTGCAGATGCAGCCGGCAACGGGGCACTCAAGCGGCCGGACGGGCCCGTGCAGGCGCTTGTGCCGGGACAGGTTGCCGGGCGTGCTGAACCGGCGGCCACACGTACGCACGGGGCAAATATGGCGCTTTTCGCCTGCGTGTTTCTTGAGGTGCTCGGCTAGCGAGAAGCTGTCGCCGAATGAGCGCTCGCAGTAGGGCACCGAGCACCGGAACACCACCTGCTGGGCCATCGCTGGGTCCACGCTGCCTGCGAGCATTGTTGTATGATCTGGTTTGGGCTGCGTGTCGAATTCCGAAATGGGAACTCGATATTGCCGCCGTTGACAGCTCGCTGAGATGGGGCACGCGCCGTCAAGGGTCTCAGAAAACGGCCAGTGGCGTGGTCCGTCCCCGAACTTCCCAGCCGGCATCTGTTCCTACCAAGGGCCAGTGATCGTCGCGCCCCGTGTTGAGGCGAATGGTGCGGTCCCGATAGCAGTCGGAGGTTTTCGGGGTGGCATTAGTGCAACCACGTCCGACATTATGTTACTATAGTGCCGGCAGGTGTGAATCGACGACCATGCAAAGCCTACGAGTGACGTTGACTCGAGTTGGCAATAGCAATGCCGGTGCGACATCCTGTGCCAGGGCACAAACTAAGAGCAACAACAGTCGAAACAAGAACTCAAGAATATTTCGTCGGAGAATCCATTTTCTTCTGAACAGTTTGTATTATAGCATTGACGCAGCGGCCAAACCTACATGTAGTGCATCTACCTCGAAGTACACGTATATTATGCTACTTATTGTAGCGATTGATAGGGCGTCAACACAGCGGGACTCAATACAGCTGTATCCGCCAAGCAACAAACCCATCCAGAGTTCCATGCAAAGGTGGTAACGTCAACTCGCCTGGTCTCAGCATTGAGCCGGGGCTTTTGGTTCGTCACGAAAAGTTGTCAGCAATAACGGGTCACGCTCGCCGCCATCACCTCGTACTCGCCGCTCGATTCATTGGCGACGTCCGCTGAGGTTGCACCCCGCCTCAGAAGTCCTGAGTCAGGGCGGCGGTGACACATTGCCTGTTGACAACATCGCAAACGATGTGCTCGCAGCGAGCGAGTTGAGGCCGCAGTCAGCGAGGAGAGCGTAGTCGTGCAGTTGTCTTCACTACGTGTTTTGATGAACGTGTTGAAGCTATGAGCCGGGCGTCGAGTTGTCCCAGTTTGCTCCATAGCTGGAGCCTCCAGGTTTCTCTTTCGCCTGCCCGACTCACCAAAACGGCAGAAACCTCAACACTCGCCGTTCATACACTTAAATTCTGCCTTCACAGTTCGTCAACCCGGTTGCGCACGCGGGCGCTCGCTGGGAACCTTTCCTGCTGTGCCTCACTTTAGATCGCGTCGAAGCAGTGTGGAGTAAAGCGTGAGGATCCAGCGGTCGTTGTGCACATTGCCGTCGCGAACTAAACGTATGCCGCCATCTTTGTTTTGGTCATGCATGTTGTCGCATCAAGCATTGTCGTCGATGTTTGTCGAGACGCTGAGCATCCGGAGTATTTTCTTAATGATAGTTTGCTTAGCTGACGCTTACTCAG